CCTAGATCATATTAGCTTTAGAGTAGTCGTATAAATATGAGGTCCTAATTCATGTTATATATATTGCAGGTGCCTACGCAGAAGTCAAGTGCAGCTGGGCCGGGTTGCCGTGACACTCCGGATGATCAAAACCGTCGGCATGTAGTATATTAACTCACGGCATACGAATATCAAGGACTTTAGCCTACATACTGATATATTAACTACCTGTTGATAATTCATCATAAGAGAATGCGACGCTGAATAGAGATTCGACGAATGACCTCAACACTACATGGACTCCATCACAACCACAACAGGTACCAAACTCGTGGCACTCTAATTTTTCTCGTCACACTTAAGCCACGCCTAATAATTTATTTGTTTGCATATTCTCAATTAGGGAGGAACAAATTCCAGCGACAAAGGCAAACAACCAGCAACATCATCCATGCGGGCGTCCATCGCATCTCTCTTGAAATCTGTTCGATTCTCGAAAACACCGCGCACTTGTCGGGGTGGTGGTTCATAATTCTTTATTGGATTTGGGATTTTTCAGCTTTAATTTTGGTATTACATTTGTTAGGATTGCACTAGCTATGTCACTTTTGTGTTAGTGAATTAGTTGATGTGTTTTTGTTTGTTGGTTCGCTACGACATGGCGGTAGTGAGGTATTAATATTATATTAAGAAGCGTGTGTAACCGAACTTGAAGGAAATTCTGCATTGCGTGGGGCTGGATTTTATTTGGACAGCCTGCTTCTGTCGGCTAGCTACTACTACTAATAGCAGGGAATTTTACAAGTATTATGGCTTCGACGAATGTCCACTTTCTTAGCGTTTATGTAATTTCGCTATTTCATATTAGTTGTGAACGTTATTAGTATCCGATGGGTGGTTTACTACTGCAACAACAAAGGAATACGTTTGTAATCAAACTTGATTGACAATAAGTCGAACGAACTGGTTACTACTACAACAGAAACACGAATCATCTACATCAACCCGAAAATTTGTCATTCAACCATGACTCAATCAACATTACTCTTGCTAAAAGACTATTAAGTGACACCTATCCCAGACACAAACCATCTAAAAGCACTGTAATACGAACGAGCAATACTACGGCTTCTAAACTACAAGGACCACATAAGCGACACTAGTCCTCTGAAAAGCACACCCCGACGAGCAACATTGGACAATCTAAAGTGTTATTTTTAACAAGACAATTGTAATGAAAACAACCAAAACAGTCATGATATTTTTCAAAATGCGTCGCACCACCTTCAACTCGGAAACGAGCTGATCGTTCACCATCTTAATCTCCTTTACTTCATCAACTACACACACGGAGGAGTCAACCTCAGTCTCCGCGTGCATATTGCGGTCCTCATGGCTTCTATTGAAAGGTTCTAGCCAACGAAAAAATCACAAACCCCCATCTGACAATTGCCATATTTTCTACCTTCAGTCTCTTTTGATGGACAAGCCACACGTATGGAAGCTAGAACACCATATTTGCACTTTGGGCATTTATACCGCAATTCAAAACTTGTTCTTATTTTTGCATGGGAATTATTACTACTTGTAGACATCTGCAGATTGGGAAATTCACACAATATCAGAAAAGCTCGACACTATGGCTTGAAGGAAAATAAGAAATTCAATTTTACAGAAGCTTGAAAATCCTAAAGAGACTGGGAAATTCCCAAAATTTTAGAGAAGCTAAAAACCTTTCTGAATCAAAAGAAAATCACATAGTTCATACCAATTTACAAAATCTCGAAAAGTGACAAACACCACCGACGGGATTAGGGCATGAAAAGATATAGAACATTCAGTCTTGATTCAGAGAATAACTATTGTATACTACAATGAAGATACCCACGTTCGCAAAACTTACCCAAGGAAGAATCATACCCAGATATGTCGCCAAACACAGAAAAAACAAATTGAAGAGAAAAATGAAGCCAAGAAAAGAGGTAAAAACAAAAACATCAAGTTTTGAATAGAAACCCGTACTTGGAGATTTGAAATCCGTGGCTAAGCGATGTCGATGAGGAGATTGGGGACCTGGGTTTGCTTCGCTGGTGGGAGATCGATGGAGAGGGAATGTTAAACTTAATGAGAGTCATAAGGGCAAATTAGGTAATTTGGGTACTTTACACTACAAAAAAATATCAATTTTGTAACGAGATTTTTTCGTTCTTAAATCCATTTTTTCAGTTACTAATGATATTAGAGACGGAATTCGTGATGGAATTACGTTAGCTACGTGAACTTTAGTAACGGAATTCCGTTACAAATATGCTAATTTTTTGTAGTGTTAAGAGAAGCAATCCTAATAATACTCGCTTAATCCGCACGTGCATACCAACCACCGTTATCTTTTAACGTTTAGGGGGGTTACGTGCAACGTTTCTGAAAACACAAGGGAGAACCATGCAATTTTTAAAGTATAGGAGGAAATGACGCCGAGTTTTCAAATCACATGGGGGATATAGACAGTTTTGCCAATAAATAATAAATAACCAATTTAGTTTTCTTGTTGATTGGATTAAATTAATATGATATTGATTTAATTCAATCACACATATACCAATATATTAACATATTAATGCAATATACAACATATATTTCAAAAATATATGATATAGTTCCACGTAGTACTATATATTATTGATTTTAGCAAAATAAATATATTTACATAGTACAGTAATTATATAACATATGCTCTAACATAGCACAACAAGTGATGATTTAACCCCTGAACATCCTAATCACCATAAAAAATAGGAGTAGCATATAATTGAATGTTATATTAAAAAAAAGTATTGAATTATACTTTCTTCGTCCGGGTTACTTATGCTGCTTTATTTGAATACAAAATATAAAAACAATTGTATCTCTATTTCAATTCAAAGTATCATTTTTATTACTTTTGTTTGTTCCACTAAAAAATATCAATTTTTTTATTTTAGTAAGAGTGATTGTACAGTAATGTCAAGATATCCTTAACTTTTACTTAAATTATAAATATATTATTACACGTACAATTACTTTATACATAAAGTCAAAAGATAAAAATTTCAAAATCTCTTATTTACTTTCACTGACCAATTATTTTTATCATTTTTTGTCTATCTCACTACATAGTATCATTTTTCTATTTTAAAAAAAATAATCATATATTAATATTAAAATATCTTTAAGTTTTATTTAAATTACAAACATATTATTAAACATATAATTACTTTATACATAAAGTCAAAATGCAAAAATATCAAAAACCTCTTGTACATTTTCCCTTTGAGTTGGGACATAAAAATTATTTTCTATATGTTTTTTCAATACTAATTTTCAATTACGTTTTCCAAAAAATAATAATAAACAATAAAAAGTACTTTTTTATAAAATTCAAAAAATAAAAAATATTCAAATATTCATTAAAAAAATAAAAAAATCAAATATTTAACTTATAATAATATATTATATATTTTTTACACAATTTTTCGTACCACACAACAAATATAAATTCATAAATACTTTTTTGGTGAAAAATACCGAAAAAAGATGATGGTGATGTAGAGATGTATAAAAACTTTTTATAAGTGGAAGGCCATCCACATCGCATAAGAAAAAACTCTTCTACCCTTTTATTTCCCTATCATCATTTCGTTTATACACATTAATAAAATATAAGAATATACATTTATATTTACATAAAAATTATTTATTTTTAAAAATAAATTTATATAAAAGTATATCAATATATATAATATTATGTAAATAATAAATTTTATATAATTAAAAATAAATAAAAAATATATTGCAAATATACAAAAAATAATAAAAGGAAATATTTTCAAAGTTTATCTACATAGAAAATAGAAATTATTTTAATACATTTCTTTTGGAACAAAATGCTGACATGGAGGAGGGAGAGTGTTTTCTATATGGTAGAAGCATTCGGATGTGAATGGTCCAATACACATTTTGATTACATATACTCTTGACAATATATATATATATATATATATATATTTTATTTATTTATCCCATAATAAAATATTTATTTTTTTTATAAATGTACTATCTATTTAATATTACAAATATCATTCCAATTTATAATATATTATATAAATATAATTACTTTTTTATTATACAATATTAATAAGGTTAATTTAGTATTTTTATGTTTATTTTTACTATATCACATTATAATACTAATATTTTTAAAACTCCGCGCAAAAAACAAAACTAATACATAGATATGAGATGGGGTGAGTACTAATGTTTTTTTTGCATTGTCAATTACTCCCTTATTTTCAAAATAATAGTAACATTTGAGATGGATACGAGAATTAAGAAATAATAGTATTATATTGACAGTGGATGTAGAAGTATTTTTAAAAAGACTAAAATACCCACATTTTATGAAATTATTGTGAAAAAATGAAGATAATTTTGTAAAAAAATAGAGAATTAGTTAAAAAAAAATAAAATTGAGACTATTATTTTTAGATGGATAAAAATAAAAAAATTAAATTATTATTTTGAAACGATGGAAATATAAATCTAATAAAAATCCCATAAACAAACAGGTTGTGTTTGTTTTGTATTCTGATATTTTTTTATATAAAATATAAAAAATTGCATGAATAACAATAGTATAAATATAAAAAATATGTATAATATACTTCCTCCCTCCGGTTACAAAGTATACATATTTTTATTTTGGGACGTTCAATTACAAAGTAACCATTGCATTAAATATCCTATTTTCTCCCACAAATACTCTTATTTTACATCATATTATTACTTTTATATCAAAAGGTAAAGACAAAAATATCATTACACTACTTTTAGGTATCAACTATAATTAAAATACTATTAATTTTTAAATTTAATTTAAAAAATAAATGTATACCTTGCTTAGCCAGCCGAAGAGAGTATTAATTTTTTAGAAAAAATATAGTTAAAAGAAGAAAGCCAATCTAAGCGTAGAGCCCATCCAGAATTATAAATTACAGCAACAGCAGTGGGCAGAAGCATCCACCTCTCTGTGCTCTGCACTGCAGATACGGTACCAACACCATATCAAACCACCAATCAGATCAAGATGGAAAATAAGAAGCAAGTAGCAGTTGGCGAAGAAGAAGCTGAGGAGGCTCGTGCGCAAGTGGAGATATGGCAATATGTGTTCGGGTTCACTCCAATGGCCGTAGTGAAGTGCGCCCTGGAGCTCCGAATCCCCGACGTCTTGGAAGCTCACGGCGGCGCCATGACACATTCCGACCTCTCCGCCGCTCTCGGCTGCTCGCCTTCCGTCCTCCGCCGGATTATGCGCTATTTGGTGCACCGCCGCATCTTCAGCCACCACCACCACCAGGAATCATCCCTAATCGGCTACTCCCTCACTCCCCTCTCCCGCCTCCTCCTCAAATACCGACTCCCCGCCATTAATGATACTACTACTACTAATAATACTTCCAGCCTGGCCCCGCTGCTTATGTTCGAGAGCTCTCCGGTGATGCTCGCGCCGTGGCACCGCCTCAGCGCCCGGGCACTGGACACCAGGGCGTCGCCATTTGCGGCTGCACACGGCGGCGATATATGGGCCTACGTGGCGGCAAATCCGTCCCACAGCAAGCTGCTTGACGATGCAATGTCCTGCCACGCTAGCCTCTTCGTGTCCACCATAACTCAGTGCTACCCGGAGGCCTTCCAGGGGCTGTCGTCGGTTGTCGACGTCGGCGGCGGCGACGGCACTGCTCTCCGTGTTCTGACCGCAGCCTTTCCCGCCATTCGCGGAATCAATTTGGACCTCCCGCACGTGGTGTCGGAGGCTCCTCCCTCCGAGGGGATAGAGCACGTGGCCGGCGACATGTTCCAAATGGTTCCCAAGGCCGATGCGGCTTTTCTCATGGTACGTGTGTACCTCGTAGATTATAACATTAGTAATTAAATAACTAATTAATCAATGGTATTGTTAAAAATGAAGTGGGTGCTGCACGATTGGAACGACGAGGAGTGCATTCAGATACTGAGCAAGTGTCGGGAGGCGATTCCCAAGGGCAGAGGGAAGGTGATAGTGGCGGAGGCTGTGATCAGCGACCAACATGTGAGCGAGGAGGACAGCAAGTACGAGGATGTGCGTCTGGCTCTGGACATGGTGATGCTCGCGCACACCGAGACCGGTAAGGAGAGGACACTGCAAGAATGGGATTACGTCATCAAACAAGCTGGATTCACTAGCTACACTGTGAAGCACATTGAATCAGTCGTCTCTATTATCGAGGCGTATCCATAGATGACGACCACGACTGGTCTGCCTGAATCTGAATCTGAATCTGAATCTTGGTGGGTAGATCGGATCGATCATCATGTATCACGTGGACCTGCATTATTGCCATTGTCTTCTCGCTACTGCAGCATATCAATTAAATTATTAATGTTTAAGTTATTATTTTCGATTTCGTACCTGTATTAATAATAATTAATATTAAACCTATATGTAACGTATGGGTTGTGAACCTCGTCCAGTCCATCTCTCATCTGTTCTGCCTTTATTTTATTTTATTTTAGGTAGCGTTTTCGATATAATTAATGAAGCTACCAGGTGGCCTAGTTGGATTAATTATATCATACGCTCGCTACCGGAGAGTATTGATTCAGGTGGTCTAGTTGGATTAATACCCAAGATTCGGGTTCTGCCCCATATCCTATCCGTAATCCCCACGTAGGGATAGGAATAGGCAGATTGTCTATTAGGGCCAACCTTTAATCCCCACATAGGGATAGGAATAGTCCAATTGTCCATTAGGGTCAACGGCCGGTCTACGTAAGGTCTAATCTGATATGATCTATTTACTATAAAAGTTAAGTCTTAAATTTTTTTTATTTAAATAGAACAAATTTAGATTTAAATTTTATTTTTTTAAATTAACAGGTCAGTCTATTTAATATTATTATTTTTTATCAAAATATTTTTATAATTATATATTAAAAATAATTTTCTATCTAATAATAATATTTATTAAATAATTTTAATTACAAATTTATTACAAAAAATAAAATTTTTTAACTTTTGTATCTATTAAATAATTGTTAATATTTTATTTATTTTTCTAATTAAATTTGCAGATAAATAAATAAATAAATAAATAAATAAAAATATTCTGTAGTTTTTTAAATAGACTAGTAGGTTAGGCTCAAATTTTAAATTTTTTTTTTTCAGATTTATAGGCCAAATATTTTTAAAAGAGACCAGATCTATTTAGTCAAATTTGACCTATTTTCATCCCTACGCCCACCACCCACACCCACTCCCTACACCCATCCCTACCGCACATTGTATATATATACAATATATATAATATATAAATATAAATAATGTATATCACATATATATTATTTGTATATATATATATAACCTTTTCAGAAGAGCTCAGCATATGAGAAGTAGAAAAGAAACCCCATCCATGTGTGTTTGTCTGACAGATTAGATTGGGTTAGGCCAAATATTTTTAAAACAGACCAGATTTATTTAACCAAAGTTGGCCTATTTTCATCCCTACGCCCACCACGCACACCCACCCCCTGCACCCATCCCTACCTCACATTGTATATATATACAATATATAATATATAAATATAAATAATGTATACCACATATATATTATTTGTATATATATATACAACTTTTTGAGAAGAGCTCAGCATATGAGAAGTAGAAAAGAAGCCCATCCATGTGTGTTTGTCTGAGAGATTAGATTGTGTGTTTGTCTGAGAGATTGGATTTTGAGATTGATTTAAATAGTAAAATTTTAATAGTAATAGTTGTATAATGTGATATAAATAAATAATAATGTAATGTTTATTAAATTAATCTTTAGTATAATATAAAAAATAAAATAAATAATATGCTTTCCAATAAATCCTTAAAAACGAACAGAGTGTAAGGCGGGGTCTGAGTCCGTACATGGGGCCGGTGAGGGATTTTATTAATTTTCTTTTATTAATTATCTATTACACTTTAAATATTTTATTAAAAGCTTTTTATATTAATTTATTACTAATTATATCAAATAAAAATATTATTCATCTTTAGAAATTTAATATTAATTTATTTTATTTTAATTATATCAAATAAATATTAAAAATATATTTTACATATTTAAATTATACTTATTATATATTTTGAAATAGTTTTAATTAAAAATTTAATCAAATTTAATTATAATATTTTTTTAATAAATCATATAAATTAGTTTACAATTATATATATAATAATAATAATTTTTTAATAAATAATTTAAAATAACTTAGTTATAAATGAATAAATTATTTTTTAAAAAACAAATAATTTATTATTTTTAAAAAGTAACTTCAATACAAACACAATATTCATTCAACAGTTTCTGACTTAAATCTCAATACAATCTTGCAGGAAAGATATAAGCAAAATTCTTATAAATTTTATTTTTATTATATCGGACAAATACATTTTGTACAACACTTTAGGAATAAATTAATCGAATTTGATAAAATATTTTATTTTTCTTTATTTATATAATATTGGGACACAATAGTAAAAAAAATTATTTTTCCTCCCCTCTCCCGTTTAGCCAAAAATAAAAATATTATTTTTCCTCGTCTCGCATTCCTTTCATTCTGTATGAACCAAACACATTATTACAATTTTGATATTTTCTTCCCTCTCTTCGCCTCTCATCCCTTCCATTAAAATCCCTCTCCTCTCATTCCCTCGTTCGAACCAAACAGGGTCTAAATTGGAATCAGGATATATTAGCTCGATTTAGACTTACTCTATTTTTAGATTGCATCTTTAGCTATGTAGACAACTAATGATCTTGACACCTACTCCTCGGGTAGCCAAAGGTTGATTTAACGTTAATTGAGATGTCTCACTCCGCCACTTTTTAATATTGTAATATACATATGCATATATATAAGCTTCACAAGAAATGGTCATAGTGTAGTATGAACTTGTGGTCGTAAGATGATAGTTTCAAATTCTCAATGTTTAGATAATAGTTAAATCTCTTAACCACGTTGTTCTATGCTAATTTGAAAAATCATTTATTTTTTGTCCACATCGTAGACTCTGGTTAACTTTTAATATATTTATTTTGTATTTTTGGATGAATATTTTTTATGTTATGTTTGGTTCAACTTCAATATTTACAAATACTTTTAATTATATGAAATTTTAATTATTTTTAATGTATTTTTTTAGATTTGATACAATTTGAATTATTTGCAAATACTGTAAATATTTTTAATTAATCGAAAAATCGACTACCTCAATTTTTGTTAGCATATAGTTTACGATTTCCGGTTCAGCTTGAACACAAAATACCTGAATATTTGCAAATACCACTCACCCCTAGTAATAATTATTTTAGTTCAAAGCGCAATTGAAGAGCAGCGGCGGCGGATTCACACGTAATAATAAAAAATAATTTCAAACCATTTTTATTTTATTTTTTAGTTTATTATCACATGTGGGATGCCATACACGATTGATTTTTATTTTTGTAAGAACTTGCATTGTATGTGCACTTAGGACATCCACAACCGAGTACCCTATATCGAGTTCCTTCCCACTCTCTTTCCTATGCTACGTCAGCTTCTCTCTTTTCTACGTCACAAAATACTCCAATTAAATTTTTCATCCACATCAAAGAACTGGCCATAAAATCTCTATATTTTTCACATCATAAAACATTTCATATATTTTAAAAAGAAATATTTTTTTTATCATATTTTATTCTTATAATATATAATAAAAATAAAACTATTAGTTTTTATTAGTAAAATAATTATTTTTATTCATCACACTTACATAATCATTAAAATTCAAATTTCAAATTTAATAAAAAAAAATATAACATTACAATATATTTTTCAAATTAATCAATTAGCCGATGAGAATTATAACTGTTAGAGAATATAACCGTTGGGGAATATAGTCTTTGGGGAATATAACCGTTGGGAATATATTGCAATTTTTAATATAATACACTACGTTCTCACTTCATTTCTCCTACACCATCTCTACACACTCTTCTCTCTATAGTTGCTTCTTAATTTTACGATTCTACACTTATCTATATGTTTGGATCGCAGCTCTCAAAATTCATCCAACTTTCAAGATCCTCCAAATTCTTTCCAATTTTCCAGTTTTACGAAGATGCTTGAAAATCAACCTATCTTCTCTACACCTAATGTCTCATTTTAACAATTCAATCTTTCACCATATTATCAAATTCATTAAAACTTCTATCCTCCAAACTTTCAGGATTCGAAAGTTCACAATCTTCTCAATTCGTGATACAAGCCACCCAACCAGTGGAGCCCCTCAACATTACACATTTCAATTTAGCATATGATGATTTGTCTTACAATACAAAAAGTAATGATACGAGGAAGATGTCGAGCTGGAGCGAAGACGAACTTCTTACAAGTGCATGGCTGAACACTAGTAAGCATGCCGTCATTAACACTGACAAACAAGCAGTGCTTTCTAGAAAAGAATTGCATCGTATTACATGGGGAACAAACCGAAAAGTGCAACCAGTAGAAGTTTTACTCAATGTAAAAGTCTTTGAGGTAAGATATGCAAGTGTGTGCAAACGTTTGTAGGGTGCTATGATGAGACTATTAGAAACATACAAAGTGGGCTATCAAGCACGGATGTTCTCAATGCAACAAAGATAATATATGCAACTGACAGCAAAGACGAAGACTTCATTCATGAAGGTGCTTGGCGTATACTACAAAATGAAAAGGAATGCGAAAATTATTGACATGAGCAGTCTATTTAATCAATTTAACATATATTCAACATCTGATGGTCTGGCATCGACTCATCTATGGAGTTGGCCGAGCACCACTCCGGGGTTATTACACTACTGAAAAACCATAAAAAATTCTATGAGAAAAGCACTTAATTTAGCTCAAGTTTGGAGTATATGACAACCATAAGAGAATAAACTTTGAAGAAGAAACCTGAAAAGATAAAAGGACTTCTGAAAACTAAAAGGTTGGACAAAGTGACGAAAAAGATTGAAAGAGAAGCTAGGCAATTATAATTTAATTCGGAGCAGATGAAACTTACCCAGAAGGAGATTGATATGCTTATGATGTTAATGGCCAAAGATAATAATTTTACTGAATTTGAAAAAGAGATGAAATGAAGGTTGGCACGCGAATGTTTCCCGTAGGTTTTCATTTATATCATTAATATTTTTAAGTATTCTTAATTATTATCTGTATTGTGTATAATTTTAATTAAGTCACATAGGTATGCATTTAAATACATGAATACATTTCATGTATTTTTTTAAATTATTTTATGTATTTTGTGTAATTTTAAGTAAACCACATAGATTTGCATTTAGAATTACGTTTTTTTTTTTTAATGTATTTTCAATTTAATTTGTATTATGTATAATAATTTTAAATGAATCACGTGTGCAGTTAATAAAATTGTGACTATCTTAAGAAA